ATTATTCCAGGAATCATTCTTGCCTTTCTTGAATCCAAGCTTCAAGTATGAATTTTTTTTTCTCTAATGATCTGCTTAATTATGAGTTAATCTGTTTTCTTTTCTTAAACTTTTTGGAAGTATAATTAATTAAGAGACGGGGTTGGGCTATAATTACAGGAGCTTGATGGAGAGGAAGCAAGGCTTGCAGACTATTTTGATGTGATTGCTGGAACAAGCACTGGTGGTTTAGTGACCACAATGCTAACTGCTCCTAATAAGAGTAATCGGCCAATGTATTCAGCCAAAGATATCAAAGATTTCTATTTAAAGCAATCGCCTAAGATCTTTCCTCAAAATGGGTTAGTTGAATCATAACTACTTTATTGGGCTTCATTTATGACGATTTTCTTACTGTTTTTTAAAGCAACTTTTTAATATAAAAACTAAAAACTGCTTTAAGAAGCAGTACGAAAACTGTCCCAAACTAAACCTTAATTTCTTCATTTGGGACTTTATTATAAGAGATTGTTCATAAAAACTGTATCTAAGCTTTGCACTCTCATATATTTTATCAATCTGCTGAAACTCTTTTCAACAAAAAACTAGCTTATTTTTATGCCTATTAGCAGCAGGTTAAAAGACTCAAGTTGCAGGAAATACAGTCACATATTTCAGAAAAGAAACACAATAAGAAAGATAAATTAATTTTATGTTAATTTTTATTAGTTTTGATGATATAGAAACAAATTAAAATGCTGCGGCTTGGGGTTATTTGGCTCAGCTAGGAGCTTTTTCAGTGCAATTTCTGGGCCTAAATATGATGGAAAGTACCTCCACTCTATGGTTAAAGATATTCTTGGAGATACAAAGCTTCATCAAACTCTAACCAATGTTGTTATCCCAACTTTTGATATTAAGCTCCTTCAACCCACAATCTTCTCCTCATTTGAGGTAAATTTATACTAATTAATCTATAGTTAAAGTTAATAAATTAAGCTATAACCCATCAGCTAATCATTTCCATTTTTTACAGGCAAAAACCACTCCATTGAAGGATGCTAATCTATCAGATATCTGCATTGGAACTTCAGCTGCACCTACTTACTTGCCTGCTCACTACTTTGAAACTGAAGACTCAAATGGCAATACTCGAAGCTTCAATCTCATTGATGGTGGACTTGCAGCAAATAATCCAGTATGTTCATTTCTC